GTAATTGATTGGCTTAATTACTATTTTATCAATTGCGGCATAGGGTATCCCAGTAGTTATAATACAAAATTGTATTTAAGCCACTGTGCTCACCCTCCCCTTAAACCCAGGAGTTTTAGCGACTGTAATTATATATGCAGTCTGTCCTTTGACACATGCATGCAGGTGTAAGACGTCTAGACGTCCGAAAAAACACTCGCCAAGACATGAAAATAGTAAGAATACCTATATCAATTCAACGCCTTTGATAGATAACACGATTTAAAGACTTCTTACTCAGTCTACATGCTCTATTTTTACTGCAGCAACATCAAAATGTTGCTGATCATGATTGTGACTTACAAAGATATCACTGTAACGGGATAGCTAAGTATTTAGCATATTTTGTACTTGAAACACGCGTGAATATTGGAATACCTACAAACTATTCCATATCTCCCGCGCTGACGTAAAACACACCCATATTTTTTATGTTCAAGTCATGGGAAATCTTTATTAATAAAGTCCAGTCCAATATTGGTTTGTTTATTCAGCTATTCGCGGGAGAACCAATATAATCAAAAATATAAATAACATTGCAAAATATGACCTTGGATATCGACAACTGTTACACACATGCAAGTTAATCCTATTGTTTGGAACAATCAACTTTCCTACATGCATAGATATTTTTAGGAATATTAAGTCAAGTACTCCTCTTCTATTTCCACCGTATCATCTAACAAATGATCAAATGCAGCCATATTTTACTATACCCTACTCAATCTCTCAGCGAAACCGATGTACCTCTTGAATCAGAGATATAGGATCTACCCCATGAAAATAGGGTAATGCAAGCACATTACTAAGTTTCAAACATTTATACTCAAAGAAAAGCTGATGATTTAAATTTTCGTGCTTTCCAAAAAGCACGTTGTGAAATCCCACATACAACGAAAGCTAAATGAATCGATGTTGCTGCCCGGATTTCAAAGTTTTAACCAAACAAGAAAACACTCGAAAATAGCAGGCACAAATATCACACCCCGCCCAACACCTTAAGTGCGGCAAAATTAATTAAGAACTCAGGAAGAAAAGATATCTTAGAATAGCTCAAATTTTGATTATTGTTTTAAAGTGGATATTTCTTTTAGTCAAAGAAACTGGACCACACTTGGTGATGCACTTATCGCAAGTCAATATAATACAATAAAAGCAACGCGGTGTAACGAATTCTGTTTCAATCCGTATTTATATTTAGAGGCCTGAATCTTTATGGATCAAACTATTTGTGATGGGTTTTGTATCTAGCTATAAACGTATACTTATTCTTTTGCTGGTTATCAAAGTTAGCGTGATTAGTTGCCAACAAGCAGAATATATATAGGTAGTGTTACATGTTGAACAAAAATAATTAATCGCCTTGACACTTGATCAATATTACACTACGAGACAATGAAAATATCAAATGTAAAATAGTTGTTTGAAACTATATAGGCAGAAAATATTAGTAAGATCCCCTTTCAGGTATTTGCCCCTTGGTTTTCACAAGTATTTCATGAAGAATATTGAGTGTCATGCAAGAACACAAGTTTTGATTTCAAATTAGAATCTTTCCTTCAGTTCTCATATCCCATTTTAAGGAAATTGCTTCCCAAACGGAAGGAATGACAAAATTTTAATCTGTTAAAAATGAATAGCAATATTTTATGAGCACAATATATTTTGAATTTATATTATCTGATAAATACGGCTCAACACAATCTTGCAATAACGATCGATTTCAGGGTGTGTTAAGTATAATACGAGGAATAATATAGAAATTGAAAATATCCAGGTCACATAGACGAGTGTTTATAGTATACTTAATGTAGGGTTATAGGCTAACATTATACATGGGCTCAACGCCTGTAGTATATATAACGCCTTAGACGAAATATACAGTAACAACATGCTTCCGACAAAGACCGTTTAGTTAGACGTTAAACGAAGACCCCAAACGTTCACAGAAAGGCCGTAGCAACTTTGATTTACCTCTCTCATTCGCTTTCGCCATCCTGCTGTCGCAATTTACACATGCCTCGACCTCACTCAAATAATATACGATGAGATCTCTAGTTCACACATACGTTGCCATGCAGGATTTGAATCGCATTTTGAATATTCTTAGATCATTCATGATCATCTCGAAATCAACCCTCCGGCAAGGATCTCACAACTAATTCGAAATAAAGAGGCACTTTGCTTGCCAGATCTGTAAACGTATCCTCGGTTGCTCACAACACAACAACTAACAGCGGGCCAAAATTTGTACTACATTTTCTACATTCAACACATCCATATGCTTTTTGTCTTACATATACTACAATAGTATTCTACTGACAATTACTTCAGTTATAAAGGTTAAATGTTTATCTGGCTGGCAAAGGAAAATCCCATTTCGTTAGAACAATATTGGAACATGGCCTCATGCAAAGATCGTAGCTTTCCAACAGCGCAAATGAAACAACTCTTTTTAGGTCATGTCTTGGTGCCTAACTGAAATATTTTCGATCAAAATCCTTGTATAACATTGAAAATGACAATTTTATGGAGAATCTTCGCATGGAAGGGTAAACAAAAACTTATCATTCTCGGCTGACACCAATGATTAATTTTATGCATCATTTTTTTGCTAATATATTACTTAAATACGTTTAAATGGTTTAGAAGAAGAAACATTGAAAAAGAATGAATATTGAACTGGTTTTCAATAGTAAATTTTCGCCATATCCTTTCCGATAAGAATCGATAAGGGGGGTGCATCGTAGTTAAATTAGCGCAGCTTTTTGGGCGGCATTTACAGAACGCTGTGATCACTGTTAATGAAACAAAGGGTTGGCGGCATTACTTTCATCTATAATATTACCGCCCAAATGTATTATGTGATGTTTGAAAAGAGCTTATGATATTTTATTACTAAAGTCTTAATAAAAAAAAACAGCTTTTAGGATCGCGTCGTAAAAAATGAAGAAGCATTCGGTGAGAAAGCATAATATCTAAGTATAGGAGTGAGAATTGAGTTAAACGATCCTAAACTAGACACTCATTGCACCATAGAGAGTCAGAGGAAAACCACAATGATATTGGGCGAAAATCTCAGTAGGATTTCAACAGGAGCCTGAATTGATGAAAACTTGTGGTAAAACGCCTAGGAAACTTTTAAATCTAAACACAAAAAAACAAACATTTGATTATACATCATGAAAAATTACGCGATGTAGTCCTCGCAAGATTAGGCTTGCGTGGGTGTTATTCAGCCGTGAAATAGCAATCGACAAATTATCTCACTTTTATTTATTTGCCGACAGCTTTATTGTACAATACATAAACTCATTCACACATTGGAAGTGTTTGCTCTTTTCCTAATTTAACACAAATAGTTAGACTGATGTCTAAGCCGTAAACTTAGCATTAATGTACACAAAATTACTGATTTACTACATATATAAAACGTTGGAGTTGATTATGTGACGCAAAGCACGCGTCGTTTGGGCTCAAAATAAATAACCGTTTTACTTCGAATTCTTACATGCCAAAATACATTAGCAGAGCGTTTTTATCACTTTATACGTATTTCTCTTGTCTTCCTTAGAACATGCATCGCCTATAGACAAACGGAAAGGTTCAGTAGCGCACGACAGTGTTAGGGCAGCTTGTAATGAAGGCTCTTGATTCATATATACTTACTGAACGCCTCTAATATCGACAACAGAACGAAATCTTTTAGGCTCGTTTGTACATCGATAGGTTATGCATCGATATAGACGTTTAATGAATAAACTAAAAACGTGCTATGATTTTAACCTTTGCGGAAGGATGGGACAGGAGATGGCTGAATAATAGTTTTATCATTTTCAGGATTCAAAGTTTTACTCAAGAATGACTTTTTGAACGGTCACTAGACAAGTATTTCTTGAAGCAGGAGAACTAACAGAATATAGCTACGTCTATATAACTGTCGAGCCATAGGATTCCCTTATTCCGATAGGGGTTATGTTAAAGCAGAATGATTTAGTGTATAATAGCTCATGTAAATTGAATGTCTTGAAAACTACAATCAAAATGCCCGAATTTTTCACGCAAACAAATGGCTTAGGGCGAGAATTTTGCGCTTGTACATTTTTCTCAATAAAATTAATATTAAATGATATCTTGTAAATAGATATGTACATTAGCTATAACTGAATGAATACTCCGTGAGATGGCGTGTGCGGTGACTTCTGCATTTTACAGAGGTGTTTTTCCTATTAAAGTTCAAAGTATGCGTTATCAAAAGTGGTAGAAGGAAACTCATTCAATTGACAGAATGATATATACAACAATTCTTTCACGTTGACATTAATCATTAATTCCGCGTCAGGAAAAATTCTCATTACACACTGCGGTCAAAATAAAACTTAATTTCATTTGGTTTGCTAAATATCAGCATTTGGTTGCATAATCAACCATTGCAAACGAAATTGTTTCCGAATAGCTCGATGCTGCGAGGCCGGAGAAAGGGAGTTCGTGTTTCGAACTGCTCTTTGATGAATTGTGTGTCCTAATTTTTAATTAGAAATGTAAATAAGGCTGTTTTGGCAGAGCGTTCTTCTTCAAACTGTTTCGATTTACGTGCACCTTGATCAATTGTCTTTTTATTAATAACACACACATATATATCAAGGATATTGACTTTTTTCTCAGCCTAGCAAACGGATTAAGTGAGATCAGTTTAAACACTATTTATATCACGAGTCAGCGCGGGAGACATAGTCACAAAGCAGTAGGCCAACAGCTCTCTCTTCTTTCTATCAAAGCATTAATTATCATTGCTTGTGGGATGCCGGGGCTTCAGAAATATTAATTCATACGGATCGAATATCTCAACTGTTCATAGATTTTGTTGAATGTATATTCAGTGTGTGGTCTAGATATCAGACTAATCTTAAGATAAAACAATTGCTAAAATAAGATAAAATTGAAGGACAGACAAACCACAATTTAAAGGGTCTTTCCACGAGGGAAAAATTGTGTATTTACAATGGCAATGCTCTAGAAAAGAATATATACATTGCATCATTATTTCTGCTCAATTGTGTTGAAAATCAGTTAAATCTAAAATGCATCGATCATGCATACGATTGTTTTGACATTTATCCGTGAAACTTGCCATTGCTTATATCGCAAGCATGTTTATAAAAAGCTGAATAGGCAAACCGCAGCAATGAAATCTATTTAAACCGTAAAAGAATAATCTCAACATTTATTACTTAATCTCGAGTTTCACTATAAGCAAAGATAAAGCATTTTACAACCTATCTCAGCGTTGGAAATATCAAGAATCATTGCCTATTCAGCTTTAATTTTTTTCTTCTAAAACACTTTAACTTTGTACGATATTTAGACTCATTTGGAAGTATAAATTATTGGCACAAAATGTTTTGTTATAAGTTATATTGAGTTGCTATACAATTTTATAAAATATCCGTTAATGAAAATCAGACAATAATTTCTGGTCTTACCCAGCGTCAGTTTGTCCATTTTGAAGTACATCTCTGGCGATCATTTTATGTTTATATTTTTATCTTTTTTGATTAGTCAGACATTTTGTCGGTCAAGTACCTGAAGAACTTCCGGCAAACACCGATTGAATAAGTTCTGCTTGAAACGTGGTTCAAAACCATCTTTGTTCGCCACTTGAATATATTTTTGTCGAAATAAATTCGTTCAAAAGAGCCCTCTTAGTCTTTCATTCCAACGTGCGAAATTCATTCGAAAGGATTCGTGTGTTCTTTGACTCTAATGTGTCTAAACCATTCGAAAGTACGCACGCTCGACTTATTTATACAAATATAAATCACTTGCGTCTCAATATACCGAAGGCCGGGTAATACATACTGGGTTCTCGTAGTCATGTTGACTCACTGCTGTAGCTGGAGGGAACCTTGTATACCAATCCGTCATTGGAGGAAAATTTGTTGTCGGTTGATAGTGTTGAATCGCTGAAAGATTCGGTTTCTCGTCCTTACTGGTCATGCTCTTAGCTAGATCGTTCGCTTTCTGATGTAGTTTCATATGCTTCCTCAGTGAACTAGGATGAGTATAACTTTTATTACAGCCGTCGACTTTACAGATGTAAGGTTTGTCTGAAGTATGCACATGAGAGTGTTTCTTTCGATCGCTAGAATTCGCAAATCTACGATCACAACCAGGGTACTCGCACATAAAGGGTTTCTCTCCAGTATGGGTACGTTTATGAATCTTGAGGTTCTCGGATCTCGCGAATAGCTTTCCACAACCTGGAAAGGGACATGGGAATGGCTTTTCGCCGGTGTGGACACGAATATGGTTAATAAGCTTGTACTTTGCTTTAAAAGGCAAGCCATTTCTCACACAACCTTTCCATAGGCAGACGTGGGTCGTAATCTCTGGCCCTCCAACGTGGTCTTCACTCAGATGGGTAACAACATCATGCATGCGGAAGAATTGTTTTCCACACGGTTTGCCTTTCGCATTTGGCTCGATCCATTGACAAACTATAACTTGGTTCAGCAGTTGTCTGCCAGGAGGTGGATATGGAAATGGCGTCTGAGGGAAGGGAGGTATGAATTCGAATCTATTCGGGAATGGAGGTGGCAGCGCAAAACCCTCAGTTTTCTCATCTCTTGTAGTATAAGCGAAGCTGTCGTTAAGGCCTCCTGTCATTCTCATGCTAGGATTATAGCCGTTCATTGCTTGCACGGGATAGTGTGGTGTAGCCTCGTGAGGATGAGGCAGTGGGAAAAAACTATGAGGGCCAGTTGGCGGTGGTGGCGGTGGAGTCTCAAAACGTTCATAACCCGAAGCTCCGACTACAGGTCCTGGTGTGAACATACTGTGCGAAGAAGGATAGTTGACTTTAGTTCCAACACTTCGTCCTTCGCTTCGAGCTGGATTTTGAGATGATGACGGTGGTGGTGCGATTGTCTCACGAGCATAAATAAATTCGTGGGAAGGTCGACGTTCTGGGTATCCTTGAGCTGTCGCGTGATTGTTAGGGACGATCGTAGGTTGATGAGCAATAGACATTGTGTTCATACACGATAAATATTCGCGTGAGATCTCGATTAATTACCCCAACTCACGAATCGTTCTCAGTTCTGACGGCGGTCAACCCGCGGTGTTTTCACGATCAAGCAAGCTGTTTCTCAATACTTTGGTTTAGACAACTTCGCATGAGATACAAGATCTCAAAGCAGCTTGTTATCAGGTGTCTTGATGGGCTAATGTATACCTGCGATGTTGGAGTGCTTCTCTTCAACACTTTACTTCGCGCTCTGCGTGATGTTCGGATTTCCAAGGTTTGTGTGAAACTGAGGCAGGATTGAAGGAACACCTCTTTCAAAACATCTGCATTTCTCTGTGTTAGTTCACAGCATGAGCGTTTCAAAACACAACTCGCCGTATTTAATGATTGGCATATTGAACGGATGTGGCCCTTAGCCAATCACATTACAGCTCGCAGCTCTACATACGGTTCGTTAATTATTCACAATTCGTGACTCGATCGTCTTCTACCGACTCTTATTGTTTTTGTTCCAAGTAGCTCATTTCAATTTTAATCTGTCAGGCAAAACTATTGCAATTCAAAAGATCTAAAGATAACTCTTTGTAGGCGCTCTTAATACCGCCGCGAAAGAGAAGCGGATTTGGCTAACTAAGATATCGATATTCAAAGTGAAGAGATTCTAAGAGGTTTGAATAGAAATGTTGTGAGTCCACATCGTGTCTTTCTTAACCGAATTTTAATTGCCTTTTTACTCTTTCAAATCATCTTGATCTCCTGTGGCGATTTAAGCACGCCAAGCGAAGATTTCGCTTCGTTTCTTTCCTTGCGGAGAACAACATTATAAAAATTCAGTGGATTCAACCACACAACGGGAATAAAAAGCTTTCAGTTGGGTTAAACAATCGCAAACATTGTTAAGAGCCGGTACAGCCAGTCAATGTAACAAACAACCTGTAATCTAAAGTGTAAGCCTGAGCGGCGGTTTCATGCTAATTGTAAACTCAATAACCTTAAAATTTCCTGTTCTTCGCATTGAAGAAATTTACTCGCGGCAAAACGTGTCGCAAACTGAACAAGAAACCGTTAGCTAAATTTGGCAATTGAGAAACTCCGCCCTATCAAGCTGATTGTGTCAATATAGGGCGATAGATCAGTGAGAATAAATTAAATTTACAAGTAAACTTTCCTTATCCCCCAAGCTGGGAAATTGAAAGCTACCCAGTGTCTTTGATGAGTTCTACCCTCCCTCCATCGTATCAACCCAATTACACTTACACAAACGCTTCTTATTCGCTAGGAATAATCCTCGTATCCAGCAACGAACAGCTTTTATTTGTTTTTACGCGGGCTTCTCAAATATTGACCGGAAGGTTTTATTGATTCTCCACATGGAAAGAGCAACATTTACAGCGCAAATACAGCAGCGCTTGTGTGCGTTTAGCGTGTGGTAAACTCAGATATTTACCTCCGAAATAGTCGTTTGATGTTTCGAGACGCATGTGATTCACGCGCCATGCGGAAAGTGTTAAATTTCCTCAATAAGTACTCGAAAAGTGCTTAACACCCTGAATTGATGATAGATAAATTAAGTTTACCTTACATTCAGAAGTCTAGAAACTTAACAAGAATATTTTACTATAATTAAGGGGCCAATATTTAAACTGGGATATTCTTTATCTTATATTTATTGTAGAGTGAATAAACAGTGCTAATATCACAAATATAATTAACGCATTTCTTACAGTCCAATGCTGGGTATTAGATTTTCTCCTATTAGCAGATTAGCCACAGGATGTATAGTTTACAAAAATGCGTACAGCTAAATTTTGTATATTCTCACATGCACCCTGTAATTAATCGTGGCAATTTTAAGACATATGTACAAGTCATTAGCATGCTTCACGAGAGATGAAATTGAAGCATTATTAGCGCGAACATGAAGGCGACAACTATCAAAACGAAGACTAGATTAGCGAAATTTAACAAACACTCGTTGTGAACAAAACATTGATGAATCTTAAGGTCGCATACGTTTGTATAAATTTGTCGCATCCCATGCAGGCAGGCTATAAGCTTATATAGACAAGTCATGAATATATCATACGTGCAGGTAGCGCTAATTGACCTTGAGAGATTGGTTTGCCGATAGCTCTCAGCAACTGATAATTTGTTAGGATCCTTAAACCACTTGAGCGTTGAGCGTTGAGAGTACGCATATCGTATATCAGTCAACAGTGATTGAGTAGAGAATAGATAGGCCACAAAAATACGATGATATCTGTTAATTTCATCTTTTCTATTCAGAACTTCAAAAAAACTGATCATTTGCTGCAGGAAGCACATACATCACTGTATTTAGCTATCTGTCGTAGGCCGGATTGGGGCAAAATAGGTAATGTAAAATTCAATTGTTTAATATACTATTCAGAATTTCCCAACAGCATGTCACAAACTAATCCATGCATCGATCTATATAGCGCTTGGCTGGTCCAAACTTGTGTTGCGAATATCGCTAATTAGTAAACGGTAATTGTTTTCCAAGCATATATTCAGAACAATCTGTTAAATCATATGACGGAATATATGTTGATGGCTTACTTGGCTGGGTATAAGCACCTCTCATCATTCAACACTCATTCATGTGTACTGATTGATCTCTAGTGATGAAATCTTAAAGTAGCGGCAATGGGTTTCACCAACACCGCTGTATTTCCGGTTGTATACCGACCGCAGTATATGGAATATAAACATGAGTCGATCAAACACTCATATATAACATAGTATAAATAACAAATTATGTTTATACAGAAAATATACCAGCGGCCTATCGAAAAGTCATATGTACTTCTAAATTCATTTCAATTAAGGGTTGTCGCAAACAGTTTGCATGGATACGTTGTAGCCAAACAAAATATGCCGTACACATGCATGCATGTGTGACTTATCAAATCAATTTGTATGCAAAATGTCACCCAGGGCCACATTCAAAATCTGCTTGATCTTATATCTCCACATAGTTCTTGATTCATTCCTACAATTCGCAGCACGAGCAAGTTTATATCGAAATGTTGCCAACTGGCAGGTATAAATTAATCACGCCTCTGTAAAAAAGTGTAATGAACAAACAGTGTTTGATTTGCGAGTTTTGATGTTTTCACGGGCCGCAATATCAACGACTGGGTATATGACTTTTTCCGTGCGAGACCATATAACCGCGAGTCTCCGCGTTGATTATTGGATTCATGTCTATTTTTAATGCGTAGAAAACAGGATATAGCGCAATAGACTAACCTCATAACTAATCCCAAATGATAATAAACTTCGTCTTAATGATGTGGATTAATCGGATTTTGTTGCTATTGACAGTTACCGCCTATTAAATAAGTTGTTATTTCTGCTTCTAATGTTTGCTCAAGCATTGGAATATTTGTATGTAATATTCATCACAAGAATATTTCGTTTCCATGTTTTCTAGTTCCTACAATATTGCGATTTCGTTTATGTTGTCACCAGTTTTGAATATCATGCAATTAAATACTAGCCAGCCATTCATTTGGACCGATTGAAGGATAATATCTTTGTTGTTGCTGTATAAACACAAAAGATTATCATCTTAGAATGCGAAAACTATTCTAACTTTTTAGCGATGAAGGGAATTATATTCTCGCATGCAAGGTCTAGCTGAAATAGATTTAGAGCTATTACGCGATCGTGTATACATAGCATAGGATAAATTGCCCTTAAAGTAAATAAATTAAAATTTGATTGCTTGTTAAGAAATTAACAGTAGTTTGACACTCAATTTGATGTCCCTATATATTGCGGAAACATGCCTTTGTGTGTGAAGTTTGTATTTAATGTACAAACATTATAAATGTGTTGATCTTGGGAGTGCGGGCAAAATGCTAAATTTCTCATTTCGCGTCCGTGCCGGAATGTTTTTACAAAGCATCAATAAAGGGTTGTTTAGACAAAGTCATACTGTGTTTTTTTATTCAGACATTTGAGGAATGAAAAGATTTTTCTCATAACAAAAATAACAACAACTGATGTCTTCGGCTGGGAAAAACATATAGCCATATATGCTTTTTGAAAAAATCTGTTGTATGAAATGCGATAGCTATATATGCATTCAAGCGCACGAGTTTGCGACTAATTACCATTCAGTAAACTTCAAGTTTGTCCGACATGCAACTTTTCAACAATGAAGAATAAAGCATTCTAATTTGTATTGTAATATTGGCCTTTTCTTGAGAAAATAATGAGGAAATAATTCCACTACACCTGTCTTTTGAGCAAATCTTTCTTTGCATAAAACAGCTTTTGGTGCATGGGGTTATAAAAAATATAGCGTCAATTTCCTGTCATAACTGATGATACATGTATAAACGCTTCATGTTTTAGTGTTAAAAAGCTGCCGGGTTATATCATTGTTTCTGTTTTCCCAAGAGTTCCCTGTTATTCAGCCTGCGCCATGATTATACTGCTATTCAAAAATGGCATACAATGAAAAAACGCATGCTTGCTTGGTCTTTAGTATTTCCATAGATCACCAGCAATCAGCTGGGTACGATGAAATGTTAACTAAACAATACCTATATGTAACCAGACCATTTCTATAGGGAGAAAATTTCTAGTCATCCCCCTTAAACTATCCAACCTATCTTAAATACTGAAATTAATATATTATGAAGTCACTTATAGCAATGGTCTTGCAGCTGTTCAAACACTATACGTACGCCGTTTGGAATAACTTCCTGTGAAACTCTTCTAGCTACCTATAATACCACTATGTTTCATTCCATTTCAAAGCAAATGAAAATAGGTTATACGATTTATCAAAATCTTTTAATGGTCTTATTAATATGGGATAATCGGGATAAGATAGCTCTTGACTGGGGGTAAATAACAGTACTTTACAACAGGGTACCGCTGGGTTTCACCACAGAGGCCCTTTTCAATTTGTTTTCCTTTTCATTTTAACAGCCATATTATTAATGGGTTGCATGGTGCTGTTCAAATACTTTATTGTTTCAAACCCTTTCATCTTCGTTTCATGTTGTGAAGGTGTTCGTCCAAAGACAATTAATACATACACTATTATTAAAAATAAAACATGAACAATTCCAAACATTTGTAGCATAGTTGTAAAAGAATGATGAAAGTATTACGATAGTAAAATGAAACATCGATTTCGATATATTTCAAAAATAAAGTATTTTGAGTTTGTTCATAATTATATGCATGAAACAGCTGCTGTGATGCCCCACGAACTACTGTCTTTCCCTATACTTTTATAGCCAAACATAGTTTGTGTACGTAGGCTACGTCTATAGAGAGGACTTGGCTATATATACTTCGGTAAACTTAAGCACGCAAAACATGAAATTACTCGAGTTAATTGCTATTAATTTATTAGAATTGGTACAGAAATCATGAAAAATGCATGCACCTTTAGACTTTCAAATCCTATAAAGTATCGTTGTATACTTATTGATAAGCGATTCTTATCGGGTGCATGCATGCATGCACAGATCCTGGCCGTGTTCAAAATGCAGCTCCAAGAAATGCATATATACACAAAGCAGGGAATAGTAAAATTGCTTTAACAACTTAAAATAATATACAAGTATGTATACAATAAACCTTCTAGACGTTTCGACCCAAGGACATTCGTTAGGAGAATTCAGCTCTTTACAAAGCCCTTAACTTAAAACTTCCAGAGCTTTCTTTTGTATATATTTTACGCTTTTGAAGGATAAAATTCTACTGCTTCCGCTATGGAGAGTCTGTGTTTTACTATTTCACTGGCATTGTTCATTTATTCGTCAATCCTCGAGGTAACTCTAACATCGGTGATAATCGATACACAAAACTAGCTTCATATACCGAGGCGCTTTCTGGAACAAACCTGCGCATTATTAAAAAACCTCCGGTATTCAATGCTTATATATCTATAGTGTTTGAAAGGAAGAGATCTAGTTATCCTGTAAACTAGCAGGACTGTTATAGGTAAACACTATAAGTGTATATTATAGGGTAGTTTGTCGCAAAGATCACCCACTGTCCGTGGTCTTTCAAAATACCGCGTTAATTGCTTCGCTAAGGTCACTCAATATATGTCAATAATTTGGAAATATGTCAAAAGAGACTGCGGAATAATGACAAACTGCGTCTAAAAATAGTTAAGCCATGGTGTTCAATAGTTGCCGCGTCGAATGTTCCAGATACAAGTATTGTCATTCACAACATTGTGATTGTTAATGTTTCGTTTGTTTTAAAAAATTAAAAATGCAAGAGTAGCTTGGATCAGCCACAAATTCCGCATCAAATTATTAAAGATACTGAAATATATCTCGCGGTTGTGTTGTTCTGACACGCGACAAAGAAGCTCGCGTGTTTCGAATTTTGCCGAAGTTGTTAAAACTAAGATCACATAAAACTTGACATTTGCAATAATATTCGAGCCTAAAAATGTGTTCATTTCAGCACACGCAGTGAATGATCCTATATTCAGAATGATAATTATTAGTCATTGTCACAACATTACATGAATGCCACTCAATATTTCTTTTGAAAAGTTACAAATTTAGAAAACGAATTCTTCAAATATGACTTAATAAATTCTTTCTACGTGGGTTATCAACAGGATACCGGAGTTTTCTGACAGTTTAATACACATAAATAGTTCATTTTAGGATGTAGGAGTTTCTAATTAAAAACTCAGGAAAACTATTGTGATTGTGAAGCTCTGAGTTAATAACTAATAACAAAAGATCAAACACTGTAGATTGCTGTCTAATTAATGTACCGCCGTGCATACCCGCATCTTTCAATATATTTCTATTCTTAGGATGTTAATCCGTATTGACTATAAACACAGGAATATACTATGCAGCTGCATTTTAGTGCAGACTGCAATCAACTGAGAACAGCTACGTCTCTAATTTTTCAAAATAATTAAGCAACATCGCGATTACAGTTGATGTTATACAGACGTCGCCATCATCTATATCGGTGGTGGTGGTGAACAATCGTGACTGCATGTGAGAAATATGCAGCAAATCATAATGAACAAAAAAGCAACCTCGAACGACTATATATACTCCTGTGTTTTAGGAGATTGCGGTGCATATATATATTTACTGGCTGTAAAACACCTCGCTTTGTGCGAGGTGTGCTTTATAATACCGCCATGCAACTCTTCAAAAACATCGTATAAAGAACCGTCAATAACATCTCCACCATGCACAATAAACATGCACACGTATGCAATATCGACATTGTCGCGCCAAGCCTGAATGAAGCCATACTGTATGTGCTTAATAGAAAATACATTGACCTTTCTTGGACCGAATTCATTGTGTAAAAGCACTTATTAGTTATATAATAGCTATTACCCGCCATGCACGTCGACAATGCGGCCTGAATTTGACTTTGCGAATAGAAGGTCTATCTAACTGTGAGTGTGACGTTCCTGATGTTCGTTTGTAGTCCTTCCACTGTTGTCTGTGGGTTTTAATTGCACAGTGCTTAGCGATATATTTGGTACATAAGTCTTTGTACAATGTACAACTATACGATAGTAAAGTGCCCGAACTTACCTAACAGACCTTAATTCAAGACTCTATAATAAATACGGAATATACAGTTTACATGCAAAAATTAATGTGATGATTATGCACTTCACGAGGTTTATGAATATATTCTTGGCTGTTCAAAGAAGACTTTACATGCAGTACTATTACTCCTGCGAAAACGATCAAATATACCAGTACAGCAGGATTTTTTTTCTTTATTACGAATGTATGTCGATTTACCAATTTCTTAGAGCTATTATACTAATTGCAGAGCTATATCGCAGTGTTTCGTTGACTCATTGACGCAAGGTTTTAGCGACTTAGTTATTATCAGCATAGACTCGAGGTTGTCATGACAACAAGATGTAGTTAACTGAAGTAGGTGCTTCACTAGAAGCTGCGTGGCGTCGAAGGAAGTGTATTAGACAAGCAATTTTCAATGCAGGTTCAAAGCAAGTTCAAAGGAGTGGGCGTACAAAGCATCGCAAGATATATGTTTGACTGCGGGAAGTACTTTTTAACGTAACAAACAAAATTTTTTAAAATGTTCCCTTCTTTAGTTTTTATTTAAAGCTGAACATTTTTTACACCGCATATTAATCGTGAAGCAAGTATTGCTGTAGCAACGTTCGAGAAAAATAAATAAATTATATTTTGCAGTTGCCACGGCGATACTTCACTTGAACAGCTAATAATAGGCCTATACACATGCCCTATCAAAAGCAATTTTTGAAATTCTTCATCGTTGAATTCTTTTTAAAAAATGTTCTAAAGAAAGATCTAACTCTCCAATCATTGTATGACCAGAATACACTATTGACCATAGCAGCAATTTCGGTCAGTCAAAACGGAATATACTCGACTTACACTCATAAATAAGCTCATAAGCCTATCAAACGCAAGTGGCATAAATGCAGGCAAGGTATGGAGCGTGGCACATTTTCCACGTTGGAGGTCTAATCATGCCATTAAATTGTTAAAACAACGTGAAATTATGTACGTTAACTATAATATAACGCTTGTTACTTTCACATACCCTGCAGAGAAATGGAAACAGGGGGCTGATATGAAGGAAGGACTATACCAATTAGCCCATATACTCTGACTAAGGCACGATTCTCATAATTCCCGATGATACATCATGCACGATTGATAACTCAAAGCTAAAACTCTGAACGGCCCTCTCCTGAATAGACAACTTAAATTGAACAAGGATGAGAACGCCTTTCATCGTAAGCTCTATACAGAACAGACAAACTACTTTATATAGTTTTACTTCACGGACTATATTTATATGTAAACGAGATGTAGCTATACTAGGCGTCTTAAAAGGCTAGCAGATATAACTCAGCCATAATAAACTAGACGTTTGAAAGAACCTTTTTTTCAGTTACACAAAACAGTAGAATATACCAAGAAAAATATACCAGATCGTCTGCACGTTCGCGAGGATTAAGCTCCAACGAAATATTCATGCCAACACAAATAGTCTAATGATAATGATACGCACTTAATTGCTCCACATGCATGTATATAAGATAGCTAGCATTTTATTCATATTAAGTGTTATATTAATATATATCAGTGACGATTTAAACATCATTCAACTCTCTCTAAATTATCGATGTCAAAGGTTTCTATATACAGCCATAGCAGTTAGAAAATTACGGCAGAATAAGCCTAAATTATAAATGATATAATAAATCGTAATAAAGTCAAAAGTCATGCCCCCCAAACATTCGCTTACAATTATAGAAATATGAAAAAAATTTAAATCGTTCTATTTATGCAGAGACGCACATGCAGGTTTTGACGTGTGATATTTTGAGTATGGGAAAGCAGTGACGATCGATAGCCTGGGAAGTGTTGATTTACCAAACCTGTCCAATTTCAAAACGATAATTTGCCCCCTGACTGGCGAAGCACTTGTTATCCGATTAGCATGGAGTACTTGGTCGGTTGACCAGACACCGCCTCTATTGAGTTGTACAGGAAATCCCTGGTGATCCTTGAGACTCCCGCGTAATTGTTACGACCGACGACGACGGCAACAGCCTTCATTAATTAGAGAAGTCGACGATAAATATAGCATTAGCGGTTTATCACCGATTTACAATGCCGCTATAGCCGAGGTCAGATACAAATATAGGGAAGGCGAAATATGATAAAGAAGACTGTTTAAACACTAACAAAAGCCCTTCCTTTGATCCTTGTCCGCCATTATTTTTCAAAGCTCTTCGCGTTTCATGATACTCTATATTCTATAAAGCATTCTAGCTCAGCGGACTATAATAAAAAAAGACTTGTGTTTTTAAACACCAGCGTTCCTGACCTCAAAGCTTTCGACATTTTCCTATTGTTGTGCACGAATATTAGATCATTTCCTATTGTGAGCTCTTTTAAAATTGTTAAACATTTTCAATGAACATTGCGTTAGTATGTCGTAGTAACTAACGCAATAACTGTTTGTGTATATTCAATTGTAACAAGTTTTGTTACAGGTTGGATATCATGGCCTATATGGGTTGCTTTGATTTCAAATTATGCAAATGATGCAAATTATTACTTAACTGAAATATCTGACAGACACTCATGGAAAATAGCGTCTCAATGTATCAGTACTAGACAAATTTAGATCGAAGAGGCGAACGTCATGCAAACACCACGTGAAAATGGCGAAAAAGTAGCGTGCATTTATGGACGTGCTACGCTTTTTACTCGCAATTTCCACGTCGTCGTCTTTGACGTTCCGTCTTCAATCTAAATCTGCATGACTGGTATATTTGCATGTTGTAACACGTCGCATTGATTGTTCCTATTTTACTTTTGAACATAAAATCATTAAAACATTTTTATAATATTTATCGCGACCTTTTGACGGTTTCCTGCAAAAAGTAATCAATATTGTTTAAAACGTAAAATTTTGAATGATGTCATTTATTTACAGAAATCATCCCATGCTAAAAAACGACTGTTGTCAGAAAAAATCTAAATGATTATAGCCATACATTGTACTATAATGTTATAAGTCAACGTAAAACTGTTTTCGTCTAGAGAAACAATAAACTTTAGGGCCACATGAAGTCTGAATTGTTACTTTTGAGTGCGAGTTTATTGACCAATGGCAATGAATGCGTCGACAAAAATCAGCCAACGACCCGAGTGTTACAGATTGTGTAAAAGCACAAGCAAAACCACCGTACGAGTCTGGCGGGAAATGGACGAATTTCGTACTAGTGGTCACTGCTAAAGCTCCCTAATTTCGTACACGTGGCATCCATAGTCATACTTGTATATAGTCACTGCTAAAGCTCTCCCAGTCTTGGGAATAATTTTATAAATCCTAACAAAACGTGGTAAAAAATGCAACGATACAATTCTAGATGTCGAGTAGACAAACATTCAAAATTATGTTGCTATATTGGAAAACTTTGGTTCTACATGCATACATGCAGTTGCTTATTTTATAGTGATAATTGACACTACCCGAATTTGATTGATTGTTGACACAAAAAACAATAACTTGGAAACGAGGCGGGCCAATGAAATCTATTGTCAGTGGGAAGGTTTTCTCGGGAAGTGTTTCTCGGCCGGTTGTTAAAAAGCCGGATAGAGCTGTATCTACCGTGTTTTTTGAATTGATTTAAATTTCGCCGTTTGTGGTTAGCGGTTATCTGTGAACTTCAATCTCATAGGTCTCCCATAAAGAACTTTTATAGAAGTTAGATTAGATTGTGAAAGTAATGACGCGTTTCAATCGTTCAACTTCTCATGTGTACAATATGTACATTGTTAAAACTTTTACATTTACTTTATGTATCGTATCATCCCCTGTTTTTAAGACGAGAACATAAAGGAGCGTTGCTGAAGTACGTTTGTTGTATATTCAAGTGGGGTCCTCAGCTGAATCAACTCATGAGAAGACTTTATGACTGGCCATTTTGGTTAGACATATATTTATCATTTTCCTGCTTTGGCGTCAGTTGTTTAAGAACCTTGAGATGATTATATCAAGGTATAATTATATAATTAGGATTCGGCCGTGAAACGTTGCATGCACAGACAATATCACCACACCCTTCACCCCAGACTTGAAGTTTAGCTACATAATTTAAAAAGAGACAGTTATCAAATTATTTCCGTATGCATTTTTTCATACCATACATATACTTGTGTAGTTTTTCGTAGATTGATGTCCATTTCTTGTGCGTTATATTTTTTATTAATATCCCACGCAGAATAACAACTTTTTAGGTAAAACTAACTATATTGTAAAATTCGTCTAGCATTATATAATATTAATATTTGATATAATATACTAAAAGTAAGGCAATATGAATTTTAAATATCACTTTTTTTGTTAAAATGTCTTTGTTTTGTATACTGTTTATAGAATTTGTGCAATAGTCGTTACGGTATATTATTGGGGATTTGAATTATATTCCGAAATGTGATTTGAGACAGCAATCTTGAACCAGTCTCTTGATCCCTGACTCTGACTGAATGCAAGAATTTTCAGTCGCGTGCAGAAACGCAAACACAACATAAAGGAAAAACAAAGACAAGATTTTGTATCAATTACGCTCTATAGAACGCCTCGGAAATCTTTTGTGACCTAACAGATTTTATCGCCATGCGATCTGGGATATGATTTTCAATAAGCAATACAATGCAATTAATAACTTGTGATAAATGTGCAGTCAGTATTGAGGCAAATGTTGTGCTACACTTTTCTCTAGTACTTTGCTTGTATTCAACACTTTTTTGTTACTTAATTTGATCGCGGTGTTTTAAAACAAACTTAGGCATGGACCATGATGACAAATTATCGTTAATTGTTATAGTGGTTGCTAAAATTTCACGGCAACTTGACCGAGAACTTTGGGTTAGGCCTGGATTATACACAAGCCAAGGCATATAACATTGGGCGGTTCTGAAAAAGAGGAATAACGAACGTATTTGGGAAATAATTCTAATGCTCAGGACTTACCGTACGGCTATAAACAGACTAAGCCAGGGGGGGTACGATGGCAAATTATTTAGCCCAAGCTTCTGAACACAATATTTGCTTTAGGAAAACGGTAGATTGCATCCAACGATCTTCAAGAAAGGCTCAATCATCTCCCAGACACAAAAGTCATCTAACAAAAACCAAGATATCTTGCAAAAACTCTCGAATACCCTTTAGTACAGATGTGGTCATTTGCGTCGTATACCAGTGACCCATGCAGCCTTGGGAGAACTGCCCAAAAAAAGATAACAGACCCCAAAAGTCACCTGCCAAAGACGTTTACTTCACAATATTGGACATAAAATATGCTTGGACGAGCTTGGGTTAAGTATAAAGATGGGTGATTGTTCTTCGCCAGTGTTTCAGAAGAGCTGTCGTTTCCTAGCACTATGATCCTGGCTATTAGATAAATCGGGCGCTATCTGTGGTCTGACGGACCAAACCTATAAAAAATAATTAACTTTGATCATTTTTATGACATTAAAGTGTACATGCAATTTCCTTTCGGTCAGTGGTCGATGCAGTGGCCATAGTAGATATGAAAAAAAGCCACATGTTCATCTTATTCACTCTATTTGCCGATATATTATGATCTGCCAATTACATCTGCCACTTGTCGTGGTGGAAACTAGACTTAATCTTTCCCTGGCAAATGGCAATGTTCGATGAAAGAGCCCATAGCATAAACAATCAAATGGCAATGTTCTATGGAAGAGCGAAGATTAGGCTAAAAACGAAATACTATGTCAGCAGCCTGCAAGGGTTTCGGTAACCCGCGGGTGGTATTAGTTCCATGCAGAGATGATAGTCTATATTCATCCCACGCTACGGGATTTTTACAATCATAAGTTTCCAACAGCGTTGCACATGCATGTGGTGTGTTATTCATTTAACTGGATAACTCAATCCGGGTCTCACAATGTACACTATGTGATGCACAATGTACACTATGTGATGCACAATGTACACTATGTGATGCACAATGTACACTATGTGATGCACAATGTACACTATGTGATGCACAATGTACACTATGTGATGCACAATGTAGGCTATGTGATGCACAATGTAGGCTATGTGATGCACAATGTAGGCTATGTGATGCACAATGTACACTATGTAATGCACAATGTACACAACGTGATGCATTTGTACACTATATGTGATCCACCATGTACACAATGAGATACACAATGTACACTAGGTGATGCACAATGTACACTATGTGATGCACAATGTAGGCTATGTGATGCACAATGTAGGCTATGTGATGCACAATGTACACTATGTAATGCACAATGTACACAACGTGATGCATATGTACACTATATGTGATCCACCATGTACACAATGAGATGCACAATGTACACTAGGTGATGCACAATGACACTATGTGATCCACAATGTACACTAGGTGATGCATGGTATACAAATATTACTATCTTTTTTGTTCCATTAACCGACCGAGGACATCCATTTGCTGTTAAATATTGGCTTGCCACTTGTATGCCGGTATAACAGTGAAAAATTATTGTAAAAAATTATTTTAAAAAACAGGAAACCGCGACACGTAGCAGTTGGGAGAAGTCTAGACCTACCGAAATAATCTTCTTCGCATGCAAAGTGAAACTTTCTGACTATCATATTATATGTTTGTTGCATATTTCGTATATAATCATAAAATATTTTGGCTTTCTATTTCCCTTAGAGGTCTATTTATAGTGTTTAATTGCAGCAATTAGCTATTTAAAAAAGTGTGTATGTCCGCATATCTTGACACGCATACCGTTGAGCGAAAACAAAATGAAAAATCTTTCACAATCCGACCTTATACTCACTCTTCAAAACACAAATGTGCCGCGAATAGACGCAGGAATTATCACATCTGTAATTAAAGTCTGGAAGTTGCCATTTCACGGCCAATTAATCTGATTCCATCTCAAATATGTATATTTAGGAGAGGCAAAAAGACTGTGCGTGTCACGAAACATGTTCATGTCAAAAAATCCTTTAAAGTCAAATGTAGCATTTTCTGCCAAAAAATAGTCAATTATAAAATAATGACGCCATCTGGAATCGAAACGTCACGATGTTGAAATCATCATCACATTCGGAACATGAAATCAACACATTCTTAAAAATAATTATTGCTGCGTGGTGTTTGTATAGATTGCCTTATCCTGTCCATTATAATAGCTACGCGAATTTGCTGTGTTTGTTCCTGCCGTGGCCAAGATCTTTAAATCGATATAGACAATTCTCTCATGTTGCCAAGAGTTTCCGTTTAATGCACCATACAAGCTACAACAAACATAAAAGATAAAGACAATTTGTTCTCCACTCATGAAACTTCAAAAGAGTAAAGATATTGTCGGGTTTCGTGCAGTGATCACTGCAGGTAGCACAGCCGCATGTATAGTCAATATTGTGATGTAAAGCCGAGTCTCGTGCATGAATACGCCCAGATATAATGCATGCAACGATAGACGATGTGAGATTATATAAACATAGTTCAAGTTTACGTTCACGACGTTTATAAACAAAAATGCGAAAAAAATTTAGACAGAATGATGCTATTCGAATGGTACAATTATAATTCGACACATAAAGTATAGCTATATATGACTATGGCTACAGTTTTTTATTAATATCAAAGCTCTCATGGGAATATAACATTACATATCTCAGACTAAAATAGTTCATTATTATATTTATTATTCAGTAGTTGTTGTAGTCGCCAAATTAGGAAGCGCGTGTATAGAGTGTATAAGAAATTATCATTGTAGTGAAAGAGAGCTTAGTGTTGATAAGATTTTGTTTATATAAACAAACTCATTAAGTGGATACAAAAATAAAATGAAAAATTATATTTGTATTATAGCAACAGTACGTGTCAGGGTGCATCTATTGAAGTCACGCGGGTTCAATTAAACATTCCAATATAACTTAAAAGAGCATCAAGTGACGTTGGCAGACCTCTTAAAGTCCTCAAGAAAGCTCTTTTGAATTTGTAATCATCGGTTGTTCATTGTTTCTCATATCCTGCGGAATATTAGGGAATGCTTTGAAATTTTTACGCTTCAATCTCAGCTATAATTTTGTCAAGTCTCTGAGACAAAGAGCTGGCGCCAGGAGGTTCAAAGATTAGCTAGATTGATCGTATCTAAATATATTTTGCCAAACATGCATCCCACGCTTTCTAGCTTTCCCATGAACGTCCAGCCGGCTGAGATGTTATTAACTCTGCATGTTCGATACTTTACGCCGGATATCAGCAATATAACGGCAAATTGGTTTCTACCCAGGTGGTATTCACTTCACTTCTCCTTCATTTGTGGTCTAATACGACATTAAAAACTAGGATGAAACTCTTCCGTGTGGCTTGTGGCTATTTGATTGTCCTCAATTTAATGCTAAGTTGTCGTCATGTCGGATAATTTGTCACAAGCGGAGTGGAAAATTTAAACGGTCATCCGATGTATCATCATCCATTTCCACCGCGTGTGAAGATCTCAAAACTGCTCACAATGCCGACCGTCGAAGATCTCAAATACTTAGCCGTCTTATACTTGCAACTGGTTTAAGAAATCCTTTTCATGTTGTAATGCACGACACGTTATATTTTCAAAATTTTCAAACTTATTATTAGAATCAGTTTAACACCGGAATTATTCCCGAACATGCAAATTTCATTGATCTAGCTGCTATAAAAATACACTGATTCACATATATTGTATGCACTTTAAAAAAAAATATCTTGTGATTCATGTGTCTAGTCTGTTCTGTGTCTATTTATGACGCAGAGAATCTATACTTAGCGAGGTTGTATAAAAAATTTATAACAATTATAAATATAGTTTCTATGGTGCGAGAAGAAAACAATAAAACTCCCATTAATGTCATAAAAATTAGTCTGGTATTATTATTGCATTTAAAAACACTCTTTGTTTAAAGAAAGTTTGAACTATGAAAATTACTGCCAACGAATAACTATGAAACACGCAATGTTTAAGTTTTAAATTTACATGGACATTTTCGATGTTGAATTATTTTTAATGCTTGTTTCAAATCATTTCAACTCTACACAGGATTATAGAGATAATTAATTAAACAGCGGGAATGATTTTAATGTTGAAATTCTCGACTAATTTGGAAATCAGCATGCATTCACACTAATGAGCTTCACACATTTGAAGGAACATGTGTTAAAACGAAACAATTTATGTTAGTGCGAGACACGTTCATATTTTAAAGACAGGAAAAATAAAAATTGAGATAAAATACACTTTTAGCAATGTCAGCGGTCTTTTGCTTCGCAACGTAAGAAGCAATGCCGTAAACCGTCATGTCCTATCGCTGAAATTTGAATAAATTGAGTATTCGATCGAAGAAAACTCACGGTATACAAATAGATATAAAAGTCTAGACTGTCCCACACCAGCTGAATATTCTTTGTCTAAAGAGTCTTAAACCATAGGGGTTCATATCGCCTCACAGTTGGTAATCATGCCATGCTGTGACTCGTTTGCTACGGCCAAAGAAGAAGGGGAGATGACTGCAAAAAAGAAGGGGGGGGGGGGTGAATGCAAAAAAGCAGGGGAGATACTGCAAAGAAGTAGGGAAGATGACTACAAAGAAGTAGGGGGGGGGGGGTTAATGCAAAGAAGTAGAGATGATGAGTGCAAAGAAGTACGGGAGATCACTGCAAAGAAGAAGGGGGGGGGTGAATGCAAAGACGTAGGGGAGATGACTGTAAAGAAGAAGGGGAGATGACTGCAAAGAAGAAGGGGGGGGGTGAATGTAAAGAAGTAGGTGAGATGACTATAAAGAAGTAGGGGAGATGACTGTAAAGAAGTAGGGGAGATGACTGCAAAGAAGAAGGGGGGGGGGTGAATGTAAAGAAGTAGGTGAGATGACTGTAAAGAAGTACGGTAGATCACTGCAAAGAAGAAGGGGGGGGGGAATGCAAAGAAGTAGGGGAGATGACTGCAAAGAAGTAGGGTAGATGAATGCAAAGAAGTAGCGCAGATGACTGCAAAGAAGTAGGGGACACCACTGCAATGAAGTAGGGGAAATCACTGCAAAAAAGTAGAGCAGATGAGGAAAGGCAAGAAGTAGGAAAGAATAGGGGAGAAGGGGAGAACTGCAAAAGAGGGAGATGACTGCAAAAAAAAGAGAGATAGGGCAGATGACTGTAAAGAAGGACATGAGACCAAGCAGTAGAGGAGACCACTGCAATGAAGTAGGAGAGATGACTACAAAAAAGTGGGCAGCTGATGCAAAGAAAAAGAGGGGGGAGAATGCAAAGAAGTAGGGGAGAAACTGCCAAGAAGAAGCGGGGGGGACGATATATGCAAAGAAGTAGGGCAGATAACTGCAAAGAATAGAGACACCATTGCAATGAAGTAGGGGAGATGACTGCAAAGAAAAAGAGGGGGGAGGT